GCCGCTCCCGGCCACCACAGCCTCGACCTGGTGGGCTCCCGTGATCCTTCCGCCTCAGCCTTCCAAGTAGCCAGAATTACAGGCATGCGCTACCATGCCCGGCTGATTTTTTGATTTATTGTAGAGATGAGGTCTCGCTGCCCAGGCGGGTCTCGAACACGCGGGCTCAGGCAATCCACTCACCTCAGCCTCCCAAAGGCACAGGATTACAGGCTGAGCCACCGAGCCCGGCTCATTACTTAAATTTTTTAAGAGCAAAACTGAGCCAGTGGTACAGAGATTTCCCCCTTCCCCCACACCTGCACAGCCTCTCCCATTATCAACATCCTCCACCAGAGGGACAGGTTTGTTACAGTGAGCCTACACTGGTGCATCAATATCACCAGAGGCCATAGTTTACATTTGGGTTCATTATTTCTGTTGTACAGCCTACAGGTTTGAGTCCTATTATATTTTTTGTTTGTTTTATTTTTATTTTTAAGAGACAGGGTCTTGCTCTGTTTTCCAGGCTGGAGTAGAGTGGCCCAGTTTTAGCTCACTGCAACCTCAAACTCGTGGGCTCAGGTGATGCTCCTGTCTCAGCCTCCTGAGTAGCTGTGACTATAGACACACACCACCATGCCCAGCTAATTTTTAAAATTTTTGTAGAGACAGGGTCTTGCTATGTTGCCCAGGCTGGTCTTGAACTCCTGGACTCTTGAAACAAGCAAGGCTATTTTTGGCTCGCTGCCTCGGCCTCCCAAAGTGCTACAATTACAGGCATGGGCCTCCACACCAGCCACTGTTAGGTTTTAAAACTCCTGGTTGCTTTGGCCCTGGTAGCCCTTACACTCGGTACCCAGCAGTCTTCTGATGTGTGACCGTGTGTGACTGGCGGGGAAAGAGGGACCTGCACTGGCTCAGTCATCTGTCCCTGTCGGACTGTTTACTGATGTTCTTTAGGTGGCCATGGAGCCTGATGGCCTGAAGAGGAACAATGAGGAAAATCACAGTGTGTGTGTTGGGGTGGGTGTCACCCTAAAGCTGATGTGGTGACTGGATCTAATAACTTCAGAATCAATCTGCTTGGATAAGTGGGCGGTCCAATTTCTGAGTTGAGGGCTCTGGTGTTTAGGATAAGGAACTGAAACGATCACGTGCAGCTCTGTACTGGACATGGTGATAAGATGCTTCACACAGGGTCCCTAACAGCCTCTTCCGTCACTCTGTGGGTGAAGGTGCACATCTACAGGTAAAGACACAGCTTGAAATGGCACAACTGGGATTCCGGATTGCAAAGCCTTTCCTCCTGGAATGTGGCAGCCTTGCAGTGTTCTTCCCACTGCCCCACACTGCTGCCTGAAAATGCTTTGTCCAGGGTCCCTCCTCCCCATCCAGGGCCCGCCTATGGGGCACTGACAGACAGCTGTGAGCCAGGCTTGCCTTATACTGTGCGGGCCCTACAGAAGGAGAGAGGGTGGTTCTTGCAATCTGGGAATGTAAAAGTTTGTGGGAGAGAGGGACACACATGTATGTGTTCATAGGAGAGTGAGATCAGGGAAGCTTCTGGAAGCAGCAGGACTGGAGAAGGCCCTTGAGCGATCAGCAGAAGGCCAAAGGCAAGAGGGTGGGAAGAGCTGTCTGCCCCCAGGAACAGTGGCAGCATAGGCTGGGGCCCTATGTTTGCCCTTGTGACTCTGGACTGTGATTTTTTTCAATGGTAAAATACACATAACATAAAATTTGCCATTTCAGCCATTTAAGAAAAATTTAGTAAAATGTGCATAACATAAAACTTACCATCTTTGTTTTTTTAATTTTCTCCTGAATTAATTTTTTTTTTTTTCATAATCAATATTTTTTATTATGGTTTTGTGGGGTACAGTTAAGGGTTAGGTGTACAATTACATTTCATTCAGGCACCCTGTTGATAAGAGGTGTTTCCCCATTCCCAGACAGATATTTGCTACTGTTAATCTCATCCCCCCCCCCCAAAACTTACCATCTTAATCTACTTTTAATTTTTTTTTTTTTTGGTAAGTCTAGAAAAGTGAAGCCATGGGACATTTTAACCAACTTTAAACATATAATTCTGTGGCATTGAGTGCATGCACAGTGTTTTGTAACCTCACCAACTTCCACCTCTAGAACTGTTTCATCTTCTCAGATTGAAATTCACTCCCCATTAAATAACTCACATTCCCCTGTGCCCCCTCCCCTGGCACCTGCCATTTTACTTTCTGTCTCTGAATTTTACTACTTTAGCTACCTCCGGTTAGTGAAACCCTACAGTATTTGTTTTTTTGTGATTGGCTTATTTTATCGATTGGCTTATTTCACTGAGTGTAATGTCTTCAAGGCAGAAATAGCTGGTTCATTTCCGTGTCTCCCATGAAGCCTGGCTCTAAGCCTTGCACATAGCACATACTGGAAGTTCCCTTTCTCCTTTTCACAGCTCATGGGGTCAAGATTGGGAGATGGTGCAGATCATTGGGATGTGGCTTATCAACTGCTCGTGTCTCTTCCTAACGTCATCCCTTTAACTTTCAGAAGACTTTGGCGAGCCCTTTCAGGAGAGGGGATGCTGGACAACCCAAGGTCTTTTCCTCTTTGAGATCTAAGGAATTCCTTTTTTTTTTTTTTGGTGGTTTAAAAACAACTGCTATTTATTATTTCTCACAGTTCTGGTTGGCTAGACTGTTCTACTGATCTGAGCTGAAGTGGCCAAAACTGAATAGTCTAAGATAGCCTCACCTACACATT